GCAGGACTCAAAGGCGCTAGACCCAATCTGTGTCACTGAGTCGGGGATGGTCACGCTTGCCAAGGAGCTGCAATGTTGAAAGGCTCCATCCTCAATCTCGGTCACTGAGCTGGAGATGGTCACACTTGCCAAGGAGCGGCAGGACTCAAAGGCCCTAGACTCAATCTGTGTCACTGAGTCAGGGATTGTCACACTTTCCAAGGAGCTGCATCCTGCAAAGGCTCCATACCCAATTCGGGTCACTGAGTTGGGGATGGTCACACTTGCCAAGGAGCTGCAGGACCCAAAGGCCCTAGACCCAATCAGGGTCACAGCGTCAGGGATTGTCACACTTGCCATTTTTTTGTAGTTTTCGAATGCCAATGGATAGATTTCAGTTGCACCGCTTGGGATGTAAACTACCAACAAAGACTCCAAGTCAATGTCATGGCCAAACCGGTCAATCTCCCCTTTCTGGGAGCATGTCACAGCGTTTTGTTTCAAAACAACGGGCACGTCTGATTCTGGAGAAAGGCCTGCGTCTGCAGCTGTCTCATCATTCTTCATCACTCTGCTGGCCCCCACGACAATGTCCACCCTGGTTGTCTGACGTGTGAGTTCATCATCCCAAAGCTGGCACTTTTTGATCCGCTCCTTGAGTTCCTGACCAGTGATGTCTGGAATGATATCAAGAACAATCGCTTCGCCATTCAGCTGCCGAAATGAAATCCGATGACTGGCCATGGCTGTGAGGACCTCCAGGATCGATCTCGAAGCTGTTTTTTTCCGATGACAATCTGACGAAACATGACGACACGATAGAAAATAGGATGGATCCTGCATAATGATCCTTCTCAAGTGGATCCTGTATTGTGAGCATTTTACCACTCACTTGGGACGCACCAATTACAAATAAGCGGTACCGCATTGTCCAAAAAGCTTGCTCCTAGTATTCTTTCTGCAGCTTCTTGATGTTCCTTAATCAACATGTTTGAATTGGTTCTTGGTCTCTGAAACTTGCAAATCACAATCAGAATCAGAATCATTCCACAAGCAGGAGTTACTGTACATGGAGTTACAAAAGACATGAATCATCATGAATCCCTTCCATCGACCAAATTGGATCAATGTTAGAAAGCTCTTTCAACTCACAAATCAATGTTGCCCTCAACATGTGTGATCGTGCGCATGCGAAAGTCTCTCAACATGTCAATCATGTTCAAAAACATGTAGGACAACACATTACTTTTGCCCAGAGTCAGCCTTGTCGGCAGCCTCCATGGGGTAAGGCCCTTGTATAGGTTTTCCGATGTCCCAAAGTAACGTTGATCCACACTGCAGGATCTGCCAGTGAAGGGGAAAGCAAAGGGTGCAAGGCGACGCAGCAGGCTTGGTGATGTTAATCTGTATTGATCCCCAAAAAAGAACATTCCAGCACCACATCACCACAGGAAGGATAGTTTATAGATGTTTATAGACACCCCTGCCATCACCTGCCTATGATTTTTTTTTCATGTATATATTTTCTGCGTACTGCTGGTTATAGGAATGATTTGGAATGACAGACTTCGTGTCGAGTCACCTCGTGTCGACCTCACCAAAACACCACCGTCGCGTCGAGGGCTGTGGGCTCCACCTCGTCCGACGCTTCGATCCGCTCGGGTGCCCCCGCCATCGTGCGGACCATGCGCACGAAGAAGTGAAGAGACCCGGAACCCGCATCAGTACCTACCGTTGATACGACACGAGACGCTGTCCGGGTTCCACGTGCCACGTGCACGTCGTATCCGGGATTAGGAAGCCAAAACCATCTGATGGGATCCGTGTCGGAAATGGCATGAAAAGGGGAGCGCCCAGAATTACAAGTGTTATCAGGTTTTCACTTGGGCAACATCCCTAGTATACATGCTTGCAACATGTTACCACCATGTGCAACTCATGAAACTTTGCAACTGTCCGGGTTTTACCAAGTAAAACATGTTTCATACATATGTTGTAACTTATACAGTAATATATAATTATTGAATAATGTACGGTCAGATACTACTGACACCACTTGGACACTTTTGCCAGAAGCATGCCAGAACACGGCCTTTTAACCCTAAACCCTCATGGTCAAAGACGCAAACAATGTCAGCCAAGCAGCCTGCAGCCCGGTCAGCCACTGCTAGCTTTTCCCGGCTTGTGCACCCGGTCACCGGAAATAGCTGGGAACCTTCAATATCTTCAATACAAATCTCAGCACGAAGCTGCCTCCATCTTGATCACCATCCACCCAAATCCGCTCTGGCGTGTTTGTCCTTTATGCATCTATGAAACCAGTGATGTCGTCCCCAGGCAAAGAGCTCTGGCTTCACGACTACGCGTAGCTCGAATCTTGAAGTCCACTCTAAAACAAACAAATCCCACTACAAATCCCATACAGTATCACTGGTTGTGTGTTTTTCAGGGTTTTTATGTTCCCTTTTGTTGTTTCTCGTGGCAGCTCAGCCACATGTTTGGAAGTGCAGGAAAACCCAGAGACCAAGCAGTCGCCGGACGGAGCTCCAAGCTGTGAACTGTGGATGCCAAAGACCTCCCTGCCCGAAGCAGTCGCTGGTGAAAGCCACCCACTACACGAGTGCAGGGCAAGCATAATCAAATGAAATCCCAGTCTCCCAGGCACCAAATTTGACCTTGCAAGCCGACCAAATGCACTCTGTCTAGGCATCATACGTGATGGGGACAATATATATATATAATACGGTAACTAATAACCTATAAGAAGACAATCGGGGTCTGACAAGAAGTGGTTCTCTAAAAACAAACCAAACGCCAACCGCTGATGGATCGGTTGTCATACATGTTTGCGTTGCTCCCGGAAGTTCCACAACTCCCGGGTGGGTTCCAATGGATCGGACCAACGAAGGCATGCGCCGCGCCGAAGCCTCTCCCAGGCCGTCTGCCAAAGCACCGAGAAGGACAACAGCAGGACAGGAGGACAAGACCCGGACACAGAGTTCAGGGGCGCGGCCAGCCAGTGTGGCCAGCTCCCTTTTTTAGCTAAGAGAGAACCGCAACAGCGCCAACAGTTTGGGGAAAAAAAGAACATCTGCCCCGGCACCACCGGGAAGGTAGATTGGCACCCGGCTTCTGCAGAAACCCTGCGGGCGGCCACGCACTGGTTCCAGGTGCCCAGCTCGCATCAGTCAGGAATTTCCTGCAAAACAGGGCAGGCATCCCGAGCAGGGCAGAGCATCATCCTATACAGGTCCCTACTTTGCCAGTGATTATTGTATGTTTAACAGACCAATGTAGTAATTAATTGTAATATATTCTGCCCCAACCACGCAAACCACGGACACGTCAGGGAATGACCTTATAATGGACTTATAGAAAAACACTATAAAGCAACACGATGAGTTTATGTTGAAAAGGTCTATCTGGGTCAGACTGGACTTGTAGGGCATCAATTCATCATGAATGTTGACTGATTCACAACAACTTCTAAACCCATCTGTGGAGACTGGCGAACCGTTTCTTCTTCTGTTGATTCTCGTGGCCCACAGCAGGTTTGCTCGGAGTCTTCCATGACCCAGTCACGGCCCAGTCGCTCTACGACAGTCCTGGCCCAAAGGCGCACCTGGTCACGTGTCGCAACGTGTCACGCGACGTGTCGGCACCCATGCCGTTTTTCACTCGGCCTTCGACATAGGCTAAACCTGTGCGGCCTTCGAACTCGACGTTTGGACCACATGGAATTGCCAGGTTTTGGGGCCATGTTCAGGCCAAGAAAAGCAGACTTAGCAGTCATACAATATTCCATGTTTGGATGAGAAAAACACACAGTCACTGCATGGGGCACATCAGTCACTGCTGATTGAACCCAGGTCTGGCCTCCTCATTATCATCGTGGACCGCGCTGGCCTGGACTGGTTGTCTTGGAAGGATGAAGCACCTACTGGTGATGCAGCAGATGGCGGAACTCCTCTTTTGTTGGCTTCCAAGGTGATTCAGCTCTTTCCTGCTGGATGCTTTTCATGATAAGCATCGTGCGCGATGGGGAAGACGCCAAGGCATTTCTGCTGAATAAACACCAGGAAAAGTGGTTCCCGGTGTTTCCTGCGAGTTGGATGGTTTCAATGGCAACTGCTGCACCTGAAAATTAAACTTATTTGTCAGTTTGTTGCACGTATTGGAACAGTCAATAGCCCGACATATCCTCTGCACCTAGGGCCACAATACCAGCAAAAACCCTATTTTTTCAACCAAAACAGCGTTAGAAACCGGTGGTCTGCGGCCTTTAAAAGGCAATCACAGGTTTGGAAACACTTCCTACTTGGTTGATCTTGGTTGTTGTGACCAAAGGAAAAGTAACTGTCTCCATGTTTCTTTCCTTTGACTGCGGAAGGAAGGAAGGAAGGAAGGAAGCAAGGAAGCAACACGGACGGATAGGAAATCCATGTTCGATGCTCTGCCAAGATCTTTCTGACTTCAAATCTTTTCATGCAATTTCCACCAATCACAAACACAAACAGCCAACCCAAGCTGACAATATATACATACACCTCCAATTAAGACAGCAGGGAATGGACATGTGGGGAAGATCAGATTTCCATTGAGCTCCCCCTGGCCTTCAGACGATCAAGTATGCAACCATCTTCTTCCAAGAGAAATTCTCAAGAAAAAACCACCACCTCCTGGGAGTTCGACAAAAGAGTCCAACAGGAGCCTTTTCTCTTCGTTCGCAAAATAGAACACCAAACAGACTTGTAGTCAGCGACCCAAACAGAATTCAGCGACCCGGTCACCCAACAAGATCCCTGAAACCTGCATTCCTTGACCGTTCGTTCGGGAGAACCAACGGTGCCCGACGTCAGCGGCCGATCTTGGAAGAGGTCAGGGCTTTGACCAATGGACATAGCACGAGGTGGCCATCCACCCCGTCACGACCTGGGGCTTAGGTCTTGGGCCTTTACAAGTGGCTTTGGGCCTTAGGTGCTCTACCTAGGCCTTTCCTTTGGGCTTCACTCTGCTCCAACTCGTCTCTTCACTCCAATCCTCTCTGAGTGGCGATGGCACACAGCGCCGGGCGGCTGACCTGAGCTTCAGCCTGCCAGAAAACAAACGTGGGCGACCGAAGTAAACTTGTGGAGAAAAAGAGAGCCGTGGGTATGTATTGTATTGTACTATGTGTTTTTTGAAAAGGGGAATGTATGTCAATGGGAACATGTAAGGACATGAGTGATCATGAGTGTATATTTTAGTAAGGGTCCTCCCTGGGTCTGGCTGGGTAGACTGATCTATGTTCCGAACCGGTCGTTGCCTGGGAGGTCTCTATAGACGCGCTCATTTCAAGAGTTCTGTAGGAAATCACATATTATATCCTTCCCAAAAACTCACCGAGAACCGAGAACCTGTTCCTTTTTACTGAGGCAAGATCTCTGATACAAGCTACAAGATATTGACAATTAGCTTGACTAACTGACTTGACCATCAGTATCAGTATCTGCAAATCACCGTGAACTCTCACCGAAGCACAACGACACACCAGGTTCGCCGGGACCCGCCTCCTGCGCCAAGGCGCCCAAGGCTTGCCGGGCCAAATGGCACAGCTCACCGCCCTGCGCCGAGCGGTTCACATCGACATCCGAACCGATCGACAGAGCGTGAGGAATCCCATCGAAGTGGAAAAAAACGACGTTTTCCGGGAGGGAATGACACCGAAATCGAATTTTATGGGGGTTGATGGCACCGAAAGGAATGACGACTTTTCATGGAGAAAATCCCTTCGGACCCAGGGGTTGAACTCCACTTGCGTGATTGCTGCATATGGAGCAACAAAGCATGTTGGCATATATGTTGGTATATGTTGATGCTTTTGTTGGATGAATCACCAAAGTCACACAGTCACACACACAAAAAAAACAACAACAAAGAAAAACAACGACATCCAAGACGTTCGCCATATTTCTCCATCAAGGGGCAACCAAATTGCTCTAGTTACTTCACTCTTCAACATATGGTGTTGTCGTCCTCTCCATCTCCATCATCTCCATCCTCCTTCCACTTCGTCGGTCCCCAGCGTCGCCTTGGCCAAGACCTCCAACCCCCTCACCGCCGCGAAGCGCTCGTGATGCTCCAAGGACACCAAGGCGGCCTCGCGTTCGGTCAGCGACACGAGCTCGCTCGGTTCGGTCGCTAAGGTCGCCTCGTAAGGCCTCGGTCTGACGCGTAAGGATTTCTAGGTCCAGAAAGGTCTCAGCTCTTTTTCCGGAGGTGATTTAGGATGACTTGTTCCAGAAAATAAGTTATTGACCTCCCATCTGCCAAGTCCTGAACATTCCGGACACTTGGTGGAGGAGAGGAGAGGTGTTTCTATATAGAATCCACTCACTGAACACATCTCAAGAGCAATGCTCTTTCAACTCCCACTGATTTGGAAAGATTCGTTTCACTTCATTGGACGATGGAGCTATTCATCATGCTGGAGCTGCTAAATGCCTTAAAACTGTGGTCCAATGTGAGCCAGGAAATGCTCTTGAACAAAACGAATCAAATACCAGCAGTCCTTCCAACAGGTGGTTTTCCTGAATCATGTCTAATATATAGAATTTTTCTTCAATAGCTAGCTCGAGTTCAGAGTATCCAGGTTAGTCCCGAAACCATCGTGATTCCCTGGGCCCAGTGGATGATGCTTAGTAGCTTTGGCCTTTTCTCTAAAAAAAACGAGTGAGTGACCAGACCAGACCCTTTCCACCGATAGTCTGGACGTTTCCTCGGACCCTCCGGCTCTGCGCCCCGTCGGCTCCCGCGCCGCCAGGTCGGCGCCGGGCAAGTGCTGCGCCAGGCCGCGGCCCAGCTGCGGATCCTCGGTACACGGTCCGCGGTGACACGGAGCGAGCGAGCACTGCAAGTGAGGGGGTCCTTGGGTGCAACAAGCAGGTTTTTGAGATTGAACAAATCATTCTATTAATTATGTTAAGTTAGTTTATATTTTTTGTTTGTGTTTATAATAATATGTTTTGTTTATTTAGATCCCATGAACACCTGAGGTGTTCGAGTCTAGGGGGATGTGCCATCTACAGTTAAAAACCAGTAGGATGTCTAGTTGGAGGACTCCTGCCAGAGTCGAAGAAACTAATTCATGGAATTCACAGTGTGTATGTGCGCATCCTCCCATTGGGAATCTGTGCGTTGAGGGCAGCAGTAATATGTCAAACAAAGGCATTGATGTTTCTCCAACACTAATACTTGGAACATCTTGGAACTTCCCACCATTGACCCACCTCGGTTCACGACCCACTTGCCACTGAGACACGTCCTCGCTCCTTAGGTTCGCATCATGTTTTTCTCTGCATGGCAGGTGGGATGATTGAGAGGGCAGGAGTGAATCACAAATTCATGAAGGTTTAATCAGACATGTTGACTCCACAAAACACACGTTTGATGATTGAGCCAACAGAATGTCCATGGGTGCAAGCCTGGTGTTTGTGGTGCGAACCATCGAGTCCAAGAGGGCCATTGATGGATGAAGCATGATGAAGCAAATGTGGAAGTGATGACTTCGACAAGACATGGGTGAACATGAACATGGAGCATCACGTGGAGCTTCAACCGTGATTTAGACCTTAATTTGAACTATGTTCCCCCACACTTTAGGGCAATGTTCCATCATGATCGGCAAAAAGGCTGTTCCGTGTTCCAAAAAACAGGACCTATCTTTGGACAACATTGTGCAAAACACCATCGCCTGCAACACTTGCTTGAAAGACCGTTGTCAATCGTGGGCCCACACTAATCCAATTTTGGTTGTTTTAAGATTCAAACTTTGTTGAGAGCATCTACGTGCTGGAGATGTTCATCTACGTGCTGGACCATCTACAAGGCACTCGAGAAACGCACCAAGGAGGAGCAGTGCGGCCTCAAATCTTGGGGTCAAGGTGCTTTGCTACAAAGATCAGGGCGTTTTGCAAACTTCCAGCCACTGCCAAATACATGCTGTGCAAATGGCACAGTGAGCAACAAATGCCGGAGCTGTCACTGAGCTGCGTGAGTGCATCCACCATCTTGACGAGGATGCTTTGTGGTCACAAGAATGGATCGAGAAGGAGGTCTATACGTCACTGGAACATCATCCCTGCAAGCGCTTTCGGCTTAGCAACATCTGGCTGCTGGCACCTTGCCCCAACTATGACAAGCGGCGACAAGCAGGATGGATCTTTGCTGCTTGCCTTCACTCCATCAGCTGGGCCTTGCCATGGGTGTGCAGTCACCCTCCAGACCACCACCCAGGCCCCCATGGTGCAGCTTGCCTCTGTTAGGAAGGCGACCCAGGTCACCGACCTGGTGAAGCACTGTGCTGCCGTCGTCACTGGAGCCTGGGGCCGCCGTGAGGCGAGGCTGCGCTGGAGACACACTGCCCTGGGAGTACTGCGTCGCGCCGGAGACAAGAGGATGCAAATCCGGCACTGCCCTGGGAGAGGGCTTGTGAAAGATCCTATACGACAAGAACACACTTTGGAGAAAGAACACTTGGAGGTTCACCGCTAGGGCTGGCCATGCTACATCAACCAAGGAACGCGGCCATCTGCAGTGATTTCCAAAGCACAGATGACATCCATTCACTACAGCCTGCCAGATCAGACCGATGCAAACAAACAAAAAGCAGTACAAGTCAAGCCACTCGTCCAAGCGAATGCACAGGCGAACCACGGACGCAGGGAAACACCTCAGTGGACCCCGCACTGTGTGCGCCACTCGTGTGAAACCAAGGGCTTCAGGACAGAGGACAGAGACAAACACGCTTGTTCAGGCAAACAGGAGACAGACAGGCAGACAGGCAGGCAATGGCAGACAGGCAGGTTTCATTCAATCCACCCTAAACCCCGTAGGTGCAGCAGCGCCCAGATGCTCGACCGGCCTTTGCTCATCAAGCCCTTTGCTTCTTCCCTTTTTCCCACAGGATGTAACCCTCGGTTTGTTTCTTTCCGTCCCAAAACACCCGCACCGCCTTTTCCCTCCCCCTCCGAGCTGCAGCAGCGCCACCACCGCCACTGCGCCGCAGCGCTTGGCCGCGGAGGCTTCGAGGGCGACGGAGGGCGCTAAGGAGGCCTCACGGTGAGGCGGCCCGGCGATACGCGAAAACACCAGCTGGGGACAGTTTTGCCCAGACACGACTAATGGGACTGCCATATTTACATAGGGCATATATATGCCATGGAATGTCTCGGTTGGGGTGAGTCATGAGTCATCACTTCTGTGAGAATCTTCTTAACATTTATTGGCTCTTGTTGGTCAGAACATGTCATAAATGCATCGGCAAAAGGAGCAGGATTGGAGCAAATCTGTGGCTGACTGTGATAGGTCATAGGAGATATTATGGCAGTTTGAGGTGCCAGGCGACGGCAGACCTGACCAAAAACTGCCAACTATAGGAGGGGGTCAAGCCATAAATGTCGTTTGACCTATGCTCACATGGTGAAGCTTTTTCAGGATGCACATGGCGATCTACTGCACCACCACGGACGGCGCTCCAAGTGGTGATTGGGGAAACGACTGATATTGGAAAACCGCGCCTTCCATGTGGCGCGAAGTCTATGCGAAGTAAGTTTCTTCATAGGGAGTTCAAGTAGTGGGGTTCTGAGTAGTGAACATGAACTGGGAGTCCAGGCGGAAGCAACGGCCTTCGGCTGGCTTGCATTGGGATTTTAGGAGCGGAATCATTCTGGTGAAAGATGTGGAGCTATAACCCGGCAACAACCTCAATAGCGTTTGGACACAATCACAAATATGTTCTTGCAAGGTCAAAATCACTTGAGATCGAGACCTATGTCAAGCCTGGTCTCCCACCCGTCCCAAAGAGGACTAGACTAGACAGGCAGAAACCATTCATTCATATGGCCAGTCGTGGTAATCACTTTCTTGAAGTAAAGCTGGAAGCAGGTAGGAAATCTCCACATATTATGCACATCACTTGTACACTAGCTTCGCTAGCTTGAACTAGATTCGAACTTCTTTGCATGGTGGCATTTTGGTATCGTGTTTCAAAGTAGAGCCGGCTCCAGCGTGAATTCCAAGGGTGTTGAAGGATCCTTTAAGTCTTTATGATGGTCCTACCCAGGAACACCTTCCTCCTTGCTGGAGCCCAAACGAAACGTTACGTAAGGTATTTGACACCTCTATGCAAATTGTCCCTGGTGACTTCTTTACAGTACTATTTTGGACACTGCCACCAGGGCACAAAGGTCTCCGGCAAAGCTGCATGCGGCCTCAGGCGGCCTGGCAACACAATCGCCATCTCATGACAGCCTGGCCTGCATCTCCATATCCAAACGGATTCATCTATCCAACACGTGTGTGGGCAGGGGGAAACAACCCACATACAACCCCGCCTGGCGCGAAGGTCAGCAGCCGCGCAAGTGCTGCGATGGCACCCAGCTCCAAGAGGAAGGCTTCGGGGTCCTCGTGCTGCTTCGGGGATCTTCGGGTCTGAAAATGAGTTACAAGGACCCACCCAATGGGGTGATGAATGGACATGAACACCCACAATCACCTCCAGTCTATTGAAAACCCCTGAGGATCCTTACGGGTCCCTGGTAGACCCTGGTCTACTCCCGAAGCTCCCGAGGAACCAAACCCCCTTCACTTCCACTCGGCAGCCGTTGGACCACCATTCGGTGGGACCGAAGCCATTTTCCCCAACACACCATTTTTCCTCGGCACTCTGCCAGGACCGAAACCAAGTGCGGCGGTTTTTGGACTCCCCAAATCACCTCTTTACGAGGCTATTTATAGACACCTCGAATGGAAGGTCCTGGCACTCGTTGTCTTCAGCAGTTTTGTTGCCAACCAGAAACACCTATACTGAACACCCCCAAAAGATCCAATAACATGTAAACACATATGTAAACATACTTTTTATACGTACAACAACATGGTTGCTTGCATCTTCACCATCTTCGTTTGGCCTGAGATTTCATGTTTCAGCTCCAATTTCTTCCTCACCCCACTTGCTGTGGCACAGCCGTGCCATCATGTGCCCGACCCCTCAACCGCTCCGCCGTCCCCTCCGCCCGGTCCTTCCCGTCGCGGCTCACGGGGACGGACCTCGACCGGAGACTCCTTGCGGTGGTGTATCCGAGCGCCGCTAAGCGCGCGCGCCAGTTTTCTACCAGCCCCAAGTGGTTCTTTTTTTGTGGGGTCACATTCACTTTCCGCCATGGAGTTGTTGTTATTCGATGGTCTTCAGGTTTTTTCTATGGAGTCCTGGTCTCGTCGTGGATGTGACCCGAACAACCCTCGCAACCTGCGGCACCGAACCACGATTCACACTCTCACCTCACCTCCGATCTGACCAGGCGATCTGACCGCTGGGTTTGGTGTTCATTCCAAAGATTGCCTACAGGCTTAAACGACCAAAGGGACCTCGAAAATGAGTGATGTTTGGGTGGTGTTTGGTAAGTTTGGGGCTCTCTTGGAGTGGACACTGTTGGAGTGGATGTGTGGTGAAAAGGCCTAATCTTACGGTATCTTCATAGAAACATAGTCCAAAAAACAACATACTATATAATAAGCATCATTCCGAGATTCAACAAACAGGGTGCCAAAAGAGGGACTAGAAGCTCCAAAAAAGATAACTATTTGTGCATATTCGTGCTGGGGTACCAGCACTCGACTGTACATCCCATATGCAAGAGGGCCAACTTAGGCTATGATCAGATCGAAACAACACAACATGCACCATAGCCACAATGACTTGTTACCAGCCTTAAGACCTCTCTGCACATCCCTCATTGAATTCCGTTTAGAACAACATGTCAGTCGAAACGAAGCCGCTCATTTCTGTGGCTGACCCGTTCCTTATACTCGTCAGCCAGTCCTTGTCCCAAGTGTCTTGTTCAGCTGTGTCTAGTGTATTGAGGTCTGTGAGTGTTCGGTTTTGGTCTTACCCACTACCACCCAACACGACAAATGCTCCTGACTTTCCATCTGTTACTTCATGTGCAACCCGTGCAACTACCACTCTCGTTCACCCCCTTCGTACCCGCTTTTCCTCACTTTTCCTCGATCTATGTATCACAGGATTGATGGGGAGTGCTCAGATCTTTGTTGCGCAAGTTGTGGTAGCAATTCTGCAGGTGGATGCCGAAGAAATCTGGCTGTGTAGGGAAGTGGTACGCTCACCCCAGGTAAGTGGATGATGGGTGCCGGGTGATACAAAGGAATCTCCTGATTCTGTGTGCAACAAGCTTGTTGGAGCCATCTAGCTCCTTCTTGAAACGCACCCCTGATTCTGGTCATTCTGAAGTGTTTGGACTGTGCTCCTGACCTGACTGCTACCGTAGCTCTTGCCTCACCGCGAAAAACATTCCTTGAACTCCAAGGGTGTTGTAGATTTTGGACTGAAACAGTGCTAAGTTGAAACCCCTCCCCCCTGAGCAACCGGCTGGCCGTGCGGCGCTGGCTCTGCTGGCGCTTCTTTTTTGGTCGAGCTGATGAAACGACGTTTTTACCCAGAAAGGGCATGACCCACTTGCCACGTTCGGGATACTGACGTCCGTGTGCGGCTAACCAGCCCCTCTTGTCATATGCCACTTCATAAGACTCAGAGCTTCGATTCCAAGCGTGTTCACCAACCTTTTTAGATATGTTACCTTTAATTTTTTAGGTTTGTCTTTTGTTTGCAGCACTGCATCAGTATCTCAAGCAAAACCACAAGACGGGTCAATAAAGTGCACTGATCTTGCTTTTGGAGAGCCTGCAACTTGCCTTCTCGCGCGGCAATCTCTTTTTTTCCTGGCCACACACCACTGGAGTTCACACACCACTGGAGTTCGCTCAGAGCCAAAGAGCCGATGCAAAATTTCCGTGTTGGTATAGCTCTGTCTGTGGGACAGAAAAAACACAGAAACATACATAAAATTACAGAAACTATATATAGAAAGGGGCCGCCGGAAAGAAGTTTCGGATTCGCGTTGTTTCCTAGAGATTGATTCATGGCAGTGCGACAACTGTGATAAAAGCTGTTAAACAGCTGTGGTCATCGTCCTGGCAACACCCTCAACTTTCAACCAGTCACCAGTGAAAGACACCAACCTGGCTGATGCTCGGGGGACAAGTTTGCTTTTGACACACTGATCACTGATCATCTACCTCCGACGAGTCTGCCAAATCCACACACGTGCAAAACTGACACCTCCAAGTCTAGTCGGAACCGTTTTGTTGCCTGTCTTCTGGCTGGGCACTCCACTCCTTTCTTGCGTGTGTTCTCCGAAGATATGTGACAAGGCGGTGTAGGCAAGTGAGCACTTGATCTGGATCTCGAGTTCTATTGAGTTAAGTATTATGTATTTCTTCCTCCTGAGAACAAACCAACTTGCAAACACATCCTGAGTCAATGTGATGATTGTGGGACCCACTTTAGCTTCCAAGATGATCTGACACCTTCACTGCCCCTCAAGCTGACTTGATTATGTTTGATTCCATGTTCCAGTCTTCCAAAGAAACTGCTCACTTGTCTAGGTCCAAAGCTTTCTCAAAATTAGGGGGGCAGCGCTTTCAGCAGCTCCCCCCTCTGTTCCAAGAGCTGAGGGCAGGACACCCACGCGCACGCGTGCGGTGGCGGATCCGCCGAAAGGCCGGTGTCGGTCGCACGGCCGGTGTTTGTCCGGTTGGATCAGCGCCCAAACCAGTGGTGAGGACCTTGGCATGTTCAGGGACGGAGCCTCTGGGGGGCGAAAAGGTGAGGACGAGGTGAGAACCTGGACCTGGTCCTGTGGAAAAAAAAACACACCGATCTTCTTTAGGGTTCATGCAGGCACACAGGTGTTGATGAACATGGTGCGATTTAGATTTGATCAGGACTTAAGCGATTTATTGAGAGTAAGATGAAGTGAGAGTCACCTACTACAAAAGAGCTGAATATTTTGCAGTTCATCTAGGGCCCATCCACTCCCTACGCTTCCAATCTCAAGGCTGCCCCTTCACAGTCATCTGTAGGGAGTCCTTGGAGGTTGCGTGCTTCATCCAAATGCAGTTCCAAAACCACTAGGACTGGCCATATGGTGTCCAATCGAAGTCCGTCGAGTTGGTACCGGAGCGAAGTCCGTCGATGGCGTGCTGCCCTTGAGAACGCTGAACGGTCGGGGAATCACTGATTCGGTCGAGTCCTTCAGTGAGAAAAACCCTGAGACCATGGGAGGCACAAAACATCTCACTTTGCATGGCTATGTCGGCCCCTTTGGGGTGAACTCATCTATGTTACTCAATCTTATTCACACCTGATGACTCAAATGCCGCCGATCGCCTGAGACGCGGTCTTTGGGCTATTTCAGATGTCTGGTTCCTCTGATTCATAGCGATGTCATTCGTTCGGATCGACTTGGTTCGTCTCATCCAAGGATCGAGCAAGTCGACCGGTCGCACAGGTCTGTCCAACCGGCCAAGACGTCTCACGATCCCGGAGACGAATCGTGTGACCATCCGAAACATCAAAACCCACCATGGGTTTACTTAAAGAGGGAAGTGCAAGGGCTTATCGAACACCACCATGTAAGTAAGCAGAATAATAAAAAAAAGAAAACAACAGTGGATTAGGAAGTGCAAGGACTCCCTATTGTACACACATGTAAGATCATGTAAGGCTAAGGGTCTAACCAGAAAACCTTAGGTCCCCACATGTCCCACACCTTCATTCTCTAACCCCCCTTGCTCTCCACATCGCACTGCTCCCCCCACTGGAGCAAACTGAGCTGCCCTGGCGATGGACCGGTCGATATTTTTTTTGATGAGCTCCTCACCTGAGCGATGTTCAGCTCCATCAATCACGACCACAGCGAAACGTCTCCGGCTCCGTGGCGGCCCGTCAAACGGATACGGCGACGTGACGCGTCGAACTGGGTCACGGTGAACGTTTCTGCTTGTGGATGCGGCCATTGAAGGCTTCTGCAGAACTCTGTGAACTTGGGGAATTGTACACCACATGACCCAAATTAGCAAAGGTACATGGTGCAAACAATATGCAAAACATTGGTCAACCATTCCAACATGAGTGTCATCCTTGAGTAGAGAGCTTCTGCACAAACACTTTCCCTGGAAAATTCATGGAACATGGCCGCGAAAGGAGGACCATTCTCCTCTACAAACAGGTGGTGATCCACTTCCATGACTATTGCAAGGAGTGCAAACAAACAAACAAACAAACAAACAAACAAACAAACAAACACACAAACAAACAAACACAAACATGACACACACAGTAGAATTTCGGACTCGAGGGTGACTCCAGGGTGACTCCATGTTCTTCGTTGAACACCTCCGCCGTCGGACTCTACGGCGGGGACGTCGCACGTCCGGCGACATCGGTGTACCAGTTCCACACGAGTTCCACGCTGCGAATCAGATATGTGCAAGTCGAAGATCAACATCCAACAGGTGACAAATCCCAATGGAAAACACTGGCAACAAGCTTCATCCGATGTCAAAATGGTGCTATTTCAACATGTGAAAAACCCCAAGGACATGTTCCCTGCGTGTAAACAACACACCTGGTGTTTTCATGGACATCTTCCCTAGTGTCAAACAAACTTCTTCCAACAACTCCTTGATCGCCCCACGGGGCCCCATATGGGGTCTTCCGGTCTTCCGGTCTTCCCAGGTCGGTCGGTGGGGCATCTGACCGGTCTTCCCACCACAGACCTCCGATGACCCCTTCTTCCAGCCTCATGGGTCCTACTGTGTCCTACATGAATTCTGCAGTTGGCTCCAAGGAGTGGCCGCCAGGAGTTTGTTTCATCACTTTTTTTTTCAACATGAATGGTTTGGGGGGCCATGACCGCCAATAAGTTTGGAGCTCTCAACTGACCAGCTGGCAGCCAGCTATGATCATGATGAATCACTCTTCTTTCCCACTGTGGAACTATGTCACCAGTGATGCGCTGCTTCTTCACTGCTCCATCCATAACTAGATCCGATTATTTCACCAATTGGTTGGGCCCAAGGCACTTCTTCTCTTTCTCCTCCTTCTCCTTCTCCTTCTCCGAGTCCTCCGTCTTCTGCTCCGAGCTCTCGCCTGCACACGTCCAGGCCGCGGGCGGCGACGACGAACACCCGGTGTCCGGACGGAGATAGGTGCAGAAACGGCCACGCGCAACAAACCTGGACATGTGCTTGGTGTTTTTGGGCCTTGAAGTGGCCAAAAAGAGTGTGATCCAAAAAGAAGGGAAAGGGAACAGTTGAAAAGAGGGAGTTCCTGCACACATGGATGGGAAGGGATGTCCACATCTCAAAGGCGCACGGGCTCATGTGGTGGTGAGGCCGTCCTCATGACGTTCTCAGGAGGAACGGGCGTCCTGATGTGTCCTCTTTGTTGCAATCATTCAGCGGCAAGATTAGCTGGGCCAAAAGTAATTATCATTCTATGGCCCAGCTGGTATGCTGACATTCTGTAGAGTACCCTTTCTGAAGCTTTGCAAACATGAGTATGATTGTATGACGTTTGGTTTTGGCATTGCACACGTTCAAGCACCCTTGCTAAACTGTTTGATTACATTTAGCCATGATCCGAAACAAACGTCGTGATGATTCACAAAGTATATAGCCTTAGCTGTTAAGTACTCTGTTATGTCACTTTACCAGTGGCTTGCCGATAGACATTGAACCCTACAAATATGTTTGTGTCATGTTCCAATAGAAAGTTACAACAAAATTAACTTGGTGATATTGCGCTCCGCTACGATAACATTGATGCTTTTGATTGGCAAATCCATCTGCCAATGATATAAAACGAGATCCATGCCCTGATCCACCTTCATCCAGGACCGTGATTTCACGGACACCGCCTTCGCTGGAGGCTCCTTGCTGATAGGCCTGCTGAGTCACCTGGCGAATCGATCGATGCTCGATGCTCGGGTAAACAAATATGTTGCTTGGAGGCCACAAACAGTAGGCCTTCTCAGATGATCCACAGGGACACGAATCGAAGCCTTCTGTCTTTGCATCAAACCAGCTGCCTTCCAGGACTTCTCCTGCAAGGCCTTCGTCTTGTCCCTCAGTGCAAGCGCGCTGGCGCGATGCGCAGGACGAGTCACCGGCTGTGGCGGAAGCCGCTAGGAACCAGCCAATTTTGGAAAGGATCAGGTGGTGTGGTCGTTTCAATGACTGTAGACTGTAGACGGACGGTGCGATGTAACATCTGTTAATAAGTAATATAATGAAACTTAATGCGGACAAACTCCTGCACCCCAAAAAATGCCGTGTGGCAACTCGTGTGGCCTTATTCGCCCGACCATCTGGAATGAAGCATCTCGACCAACGTCGGAAAAACTTCGCGGTCAACGTCAATCCGGGTGGCTTGATGGCATCAAGATCGCCCTCCTCAGCGGCCAAGGCCGTCCTGCTCAGCACAGCCAAGCGGAGCGGACAAACAGCGCACCCGCACAGGAACGGTGGACCGGCGGTTTCTGGTTTTAAACAACAAACATGTGAAACGTATGAATCACCCTGACTGTCACGTGACAAAGGTGTGGACAAACCATTGTACTTACTCTTGCATGGAATTGTGTGATGCTCTTGAAGCCCCTTGAACAAAGATCTGTACATGTCAACAACCAACTCACATCTGAGCTAACCCCTCTATCCCCTCGTCCCAAACTCACGAGCCCGAGCCCAGGCGGTTGGACGAGGGAGTCTGGTTTTACTCCCAGTTCCCATGCGGTACTGCGCAGCGTGCCTGAAACCATATGAGCCCATGATTCTCATGGTCTTTCTTCGGTAGAAGTCAGAACTATACATATCACATCATATCACACATCACAAAATACATCCATCACATACTATTATGGACATAATTGACCATATGCATATAAACCCCTGACCATGTCCACCAGAACACACTTCCAGCCTTGGCACCTCCCATCCAACCTGCACCTCCCAGTCGTCCCACACCTGAGCTCGGTGAGGAGGTTCTTCAGCTCGTCGGCGTCCGCCGTGGACATCTTGTCCTGCGACCGCCGTGGATTCCACGAGTCCAAGGAATCGGAGTCAGGGGAGGAATCAGGTCACCTGGTTGGATGTTGATCCAAACGACTCAGAGTCGACCAAAGGACTTCCGATTTTGAACCACTGGACTCTATAGAGTACCACTCGGGGTTTGTACAAAGAACATCAAAGAACCACTCTATTATTCTAGTTCACTCTAATGCACCTCACTAGCAAGTTGCAAAGAACCTTTGACCTCCAGAGGGCCCGTGACCTCAAAGCTTTTGCTATACCAATGGACGAATAACTTCCTTCGCTCGACGCTTCGCGAGACTCGCGGACGAGTCCTTGAGCTCGGTGAGTTGCTTCTCCACCTGGAACCACGGGCTGCGCGAGTGGGCGCGAGCGGCGAGCTGGCGCGCTGGCCAAGAGCAGAGATGGCCAGTGAGAAATGGCCTGGTGGGCATGTCTTAGCTGATTCTGAAGAAAATCCTTTGCATGCAGAGTAGGAGAAGAACAAACCCTTTAAGATGATAAAACAACAAAACAAGCATTGAAGGCAAACAGGCATCTATAGCCTATAGGATTATGAAATGGAACTGTGTTAAATTTTGAGCCCCCTCATCTTGATTTCAACAAGGGCCACAGGATATATTACTGGAACAGCAAACCAACGGACAAAACTCGAAGAAAAACCCAAGTCGCCCGCTCCGACTTCATGCGCAAACCAGATCATGGTCAAAACAATCCCCGTGCCTTCGAGAAGGCCAGGTCTTAAGCGGCCGAATGATGATGGTTGGAGACTTGCATGTATTTGTCCATCCCAAACACTTCACCTGGTGCTTGATAGTTCCAACAGCATCAGGATCTTGGACCTTGTTCAATAAACTGCCACCTCCCCACCTCAAAGTTGTCCCTACTACAACGTGATGGATATGAGCCTGGGTGGACAGCGTAAAACAACACGTAAATACCATCTTTCCCTCTCTCCCTGTCAAGAATCCTGATTGTATCTGCTTTTGTTGCAACTGATCACACACCATTGACAGCTCACACTCTCGCCTGATACGCCAGGTTCTCTCCGTCATTCTTGGCCTGCACGGTGTCCTGGCACAGAACTCAAAGCCGCAAACAATTAAAAACACCTGAACTTACGACGTGTGCGGCATGCGTTTTTTATTGCCAACATGTTTTGTTTGGCTGGTAAGGCAAGAACCATGGCTGATTGCAGGCATATGTACTCAGCCTACCTCCTGTCACTCTGAAGGACTTCCGCCCTTCACCGGCGCCGGGTCAAGCACCATCGCACTGCGTCCCGTTTGCTTGGAGGGCCGGAGCCAAAGAAATCGCCGCAGCACAATGGCACAGGTTCAGGGTTGCCCATCGAACGAAACAACGATAATTAGATGATGTTAGATGGCTGGCGATTTCAGGGATGAAAAACCCTTTAGTTTATCTTGAGGGCTTCATATAGCTTGCCTTTGCAGAAAACAGAAACTACCAGGAGATGGACAACTCCTCTATCTTTTCTTTCTGCACCTCCAACAAAGTCTAGTAAAGTTCGCTTTCAATCCCTCCACCAACCCCACCCAGCTGGCATATTCACTTCCCTCAGCTTCCCTCAGCTTCGTCTCGCCCCCGGTGGTCGCTGCCGCGCCTTCTTCCGCTGGTCAGACTCCCGCATGCTCTCCGCCTCGTTGACCATGCGGTCGATCTCCGCGTCGGACAAGCCGCCGCTGGAGCGGATGGTGATGGCCTGCTTCTTGCCTCGAAAGACGAGTGATGCAGCTTGTTCACTATACCAGTATCCAAAACAGCATGTGCCATGGAGGTTGGGGACTCTACTAAGAAATAGTGTGCCACTACTTCAGCCCAGTGTCCCAGTGTGATAATTCCTAATCATTTGTTTCGAGGGAAATGCATAAAAATCCATAGAGAATAGCAAAATGATTCTTGTTAAACTTTGACCGGGGGTGATATGCCAACTGATATGCTCATATATCCACTCGTTGTTCAGGATTTCACAGTTAATTCCACCAATCAACGGTCAAACAACTAAGACATGGTGGTAATTCATATGTAGCAATAACCATGGGACGTTCTTCAGTTTTGAAAGCTGAGAAAACTACTCAGCAACACGAGTCGCTGAAGGCGACGTCTGACGGTCGGTGGGAGAAAAAAGTTGGATCTGTTGGTGGGGGGACAAGTGCAAATCAATACCTCCTATACAGCAGCATGCACGTGTTAAACATTGTTAAACTGTGCAATTGCTAGTCAATTCAATGTCACACAGTGAAACCAACCAGAACCCTCCAAGGGGTGTCTATTTATAGCCCCTTAGCTGTTTAAGGAGTGTCCATTAACCACCCATTGGGGGTCCTAGAATACTATCCTCTTTTGTGTGGTTGCAACGTCAAACTTCTCTCTCATCAATCCCAACCCCAAGACCGGCTTGCACGCAGTAGTTATGAGAAAAAAACCCTCCAAGGCCTAAAATTAAAACAACGATGAAAGCTACAGATCGTCACCTTTTTACAGTGCGAAACACAACACATTCACTGACACGAGCCCGCCTTGGGCGGGTCTGAGCATTCCTGCCCACAGGCTCGAGAAAAACCCGAAGGGAGCCACCGCGCGATAGCTGGCCGGCTGGCGCGTCCGCGGCGCGCGTCCTCCTCGCCTGTGCCTTTGTCGGAAGCGCTGACGTTCACGATGCCGTTGGCATCGATGTCGAAGGTCACCTCAATCCTCGGCTGTCGGTGCCACCAGTCGCGACGGACGACTGGGGGAGGGATGGGGGCGGGCGAAATCGGGCAGCGAAGCCGGTGTGCAACGTTCAAGACAGCAACGCACAGGTGAAGCGGCTCAACACCTGTTGTTTATTATAGTGAAGTCAAGCTTGAAGCCGCCACCGGAAGATACGCAAGAAAACTCGCTTGGCAAGCTATTCTGAAGTCAGTTGTTCCAGCTTGTGTGAAAATCAATCCCAAGAAATGAACTCCAACAACAGCAGGTGGAGTTGCGCACCATCTAAAGAATATCCTTGTCATATTTGGTGACTAGGCGACGGAAGCGGCAACAAAAGAGCTTTCCACACACCCCACCGGGCCCCCTTTCACAATCCTTGGCCGAGAAAATGGTCACGCTCATTCAAAACACACTATCCAACAAGAAACAGCCATCACCCGTGGCCCTATCACCGTTGGTTTTGTAGCCTGTAGTCTGCGTCTTTACTGGCCTTGGCCATTGATACCATAGAGAACCTCCCGTCGGGTCCAACGGAAGTCCGCCACCTCAACGACCTTCACTCCCAAGCGTCTGTGGCACTCCGCGAGGGGCCGGGGGAATGCCTGGCGCGGAGGGAAGCAGCCGAGGATGGGTCGGCTGCAAGTTTGCAAGCCGATGGCATTGGCGAAAGACTGGGTCATATCGCGGGGTCTTGCAACGTCCGATTTCTGACTGTCAGATGTATTCAAACGCTACTATGATAGTCTTACATGATAGTACTATATAAGTTCCTGAGCAAGGAAACGTCCCTACATCATCCTACATCAACGTTGTCGACACGTGTTGAAAACTCCTTTTGGAACAACTCATATTTGAGGCTCAGGTGGTGTTTGATCGAAGCGGAATATCAAAAAAGGGCATCCCAACCTCCAACTGCTCACGGTAGGCCAATGGGGCATTCAACAATACTCAACACGTATTGTATAGGGTTGTGAACCATGTCCTACCCATTGGGAAACGAGAGCTGGATCACGTTGCATCCAAACTCTTGACGGACCCTAGATTGGGAACTATATTATGGGATCAATGGTCATCCTCTCCCATTCCTGTGAAGAAAACGAAGGAGGGCCTGATGATTGATGAAACCTCTTCAGGGTGAGTCAACAGGTGGATCACCGTGACTCATTTGTGTCACAGTGCCCTATTGGATGAAACCACCAGTACCAGTGACTCATTTGTATGTACCACAGGGCGTATCACAGGGCCTGATTGGGTGCATTCTATCTGTTCTATTTCTTGGTGTCTGGCACCAGTCATCCTCCGCTCCGACCGGGGCGTCCCGCCTACCAGGTCAAACTGCCCCAGCATCCTCGGCGTTTTTTGTGGCGGTGGCGGGGTCGGGAGCCGAGGAGAAACCCGGTGGATGCGGACCAAAAGCCGGGTGCTCGGGTTGTTGGGGGTCCAGGAGTTTGACCCATTTTTTGGGTTGTCTTTTCCTTGGTGGGACCCCAGAAAGAACATGTGCAAAGCCGCACATCCACAAAAAGGGTGAATGAAACGACCGGATCGACTATACAGTGTTGTGTTTTTGCCCACCAAAGGATGATGCGACCAAGAGACTGATCATGATGCTCCAAGTGATTTGACCCTTGCGTCAGAGTATATTGCGGGTATGACCAACCAACCAACCAACCAACCAACCACTGTTAAAGGGCCATCTATATATATGAACTCACCCGTTTTTGGGACCACCATGTAACACCGAACACACGCGAGGCCATCTCTGAAGCGAGGATCTGGTTGTCGGCGGCCATCTCTCGCTCACCCTGGAAGACTTTGATGCCCACCTGGGGTCGGAGTGGGCAGTTAGTCCCTGAGATCCGAATCAACGCGCCCCACATCGAGGAGTCTGGAGAGATTGGCTTCGCCTACATCGCCACCGACCGGTGGACCGACCGGTGGCAATCGAGGTCCGCACCCGGGCAGCGAAAAGGGTCGGTATAGACCGCTAGAGAGGTGTATCAATGGAAGTACCTTCCATGACAGTACCTTCCAAGAGTTCCAGTCGGGGTCTCCTTATGGAAGCCTTCACACTACTTATGGATCTCCAGCCAGGACACCCCGACAGGAAGGTCCAGATGTTTTTGGTGTAAGTTGAGATGTGGAAGGGATACTTGATCTGTATAAATGAAAGGCATTTAAGGGCTCTTCCAGGTGAGAGTGGAATGGGGGCAAAGCGGCAAAACCATAGAATATGACAGAAGTCGCTGGTCGAACCTGCGCACAGTCTTCCTGTCCGTATCTGCATCAGCGTCATGAACCCGTGCCTGGGTCTGGTTGTCCGCCGCAGTGGAGAAGACCTGGCCAGCAGAAGCACTGACTCCATCAGCACCATGGTAGCTGGATGCCGTGGACCTCTAACCTTTATGATCTGGGTGTCACCAACCTTAGGGTAAAGTACTACTCCCAACATCATTACAACTTGGCTGCAACAAACGATTTCCTTTGGAATGCATTCTAAGACCAGTTCCCCGTTAGGTTCATGTTTCATGTCTATAACCGTCTATAAGTTTGTCTATATTAATTAAAAAACACACACACAAATAAATTGCGCGCCTTAAAAAAAAAGACACACACACACACAAACAAACACATGGCAGGGAAATCCCATTTCTGTCTCATCTTCCAACCTCCCCCCAAAAACACTGACTGAGCTCCACATTCCCTCTTCCCAAGCTCAACAAGCTTGTTCTCACGCCTGGGACTTCTTGGTGGGGATCGTGGTGTTGCGGCTAATGAGGCGCGTGAAGACGCCGCCCAAGGTCTCAATGCCCAAGGACAGGGGCGTCACGTCCAGCAAGAGGATGTCCTGAGGACGGAGCACAGGTACCATCGGCCTGGAGGTACTGCTCGCCCACCCTGATCCACAACGTCGGCACCGAGATTTCGCTGGTTGACACTTGGGAAGCTAAAGAGTGTCATCCAATTGAGTGTGGTAGTTTTAGTACACGGAGATCCCTAAATGAGTTTTTGTCTGTCCTTCCAGGGGGGTTGTTGCCTGGGAGGTCTCTATAAATACACTCACTTGGCAGCTCACATTCACCCCAAGCTGCCGGTGAAAGTGGGAAAACTAACGGAAAAACCTCTGCACATCTGCAGTTCCCTGATGTGATCCTGGGGGTACCTTTGAGCACAGCCTACTTGCCACTAATGTAGAACAACCCAGAAACCTCAATCCTCCATATTTCCCTCCCTCCTCCCTGCCACCTGACAAACGATTCCCACCCAAACACTCAAAACATCTCAAAACCACTCCATCCACCTTGCTACATCCTTGCCACCAAATCATCCCATCGAAACCGGTTCCAAAAACCACCGACTGCCGCGCCGCTCGGCCACCCGTCGCCGCACCTTGACGTCGCCCTTGAGGACGCCGGCCTGGATGGCGGCGCCCATGGCGACCGCTTCGTCGGGGTTCACCGCCTTGGAGGGCTCCTGAGGACGGCGGGGTCGCGTGTGTAGCGGCCGCGCGTTGTGTGTGGCAGGCGGAGGGCTGAGAGAAGGTATATATACTGGATCCTCCAAAATACCCTAGAACCATGGTTTTTGGAGGTACTTTGAGACTCCAGGTAGAGCCATGTGGTGCTTCTTGCTGGGCCTGAAAGGAAGTGAATAGATGATCTTGATTTCATTATAGGATTGAGAGGAAGTGGTACTGGTAGGAATGAAGGAGTTTCTTGGCTCACAGCGAAAACAAGGAGGAGGAGGTCTATGTACAGTCCCCAACCCAACCACGTCGAATTTAACTGCCCTCCCTGCAACAAACATGGAAGTGGACGATGGCCGCTGGAACGACAATTTTCCTCTACAAATAGGGGGTTGTCCACTTCCATGTTTGTTCCATGGACTCTTCATCGTCGCACAAAATGATCAAAACAGCCTTGATGGCGCAAAAACGTTGAACGGCCCATGGAAAAAAATATAAACAACAAACAGCCACATCAGCCACGATATGCGAGTGCGAGCTTTTGGTCTCTACATCGCTGGGGTCAAATGGGGTCAATGCATGTAGACACCGAGCCCTGCGCATGTGAAGTGAAAAATGTAAAGGCCCTGTTCAACTCCCTGTTCAGGCATACACGAAACACACAAATATCTGAACAACCCAAAATGCTGGCAGGAAGTTCAGGCGGAGCATTCTGTCTTTGCGGCTCAACAGCGTGGCGTGATCCAGAACCATCATTTGGGGCCCACACACATTTGCTATGGCATCAGGAGAAAAAGCTGCGATTTGGAGTAAATGAGTCCAGGTACGTCCAAATCGACCGAGTCGTCTGGTAATCTCAGTTGGTGCTTCGGGTCATGTCAGTCATGTCATGTCCTATACTTCGCAACTTGAAGTCAGGTCCAGGTACTGTTCTCTCGGTCTTCTCCACTCGATGCTGATGCAAGTACCCGGTTTTACCCGATCGAAATATCCACAGAAAGACGTCTGACATGCCGCCCCTCCCGCCGCAGCTCTCGGCTCCTTCTGATAGATGTCCTGAACAATCTCCATCACCTGCCGATGACTCACCAGAGTGCCATACGTGCCGACGACGCGCCGACGACGCGTTGACAGGCTTCAACAATGACCTGATCTTGCTGGCAGGTAGGTGTGGTTGGCTGTGTTTGAGGGAAGGCCCCCGAAAACAGCACACGAGGCACATGCAAGTTTATGACCTTCCGCCCCACAGGTGGTGGCACATGCACACACACACACGCACAAAATTACACTCAATCATTCAGTTAGCGCATTCCCATTCAGGCAAAAGCCACCACCCAGGATTTGGAACAACTCCACTTCAATGATCAGCTCTGTGTTCAACATCTTGAAGCGAGGCCATGGAGGTTCCGACCCTTATTTTTGATTCTCAATAGCCGATACTTCCACTTCTGTTCATGCGTTGATAAAACATGATTTCCCCCTTCCCGACTCCTCAGAGACGATACTGTTGCCATGTCCGCTCTGTGTGAGTGATCCACCTTGATTCCCACTGGTTCGTCGTCAGGACCCCGCGCGGCGCGGTTTGGCCACCCGAAATGCATCTCCCCCGGTGCATGTTCCAAAGCCTGAAAAAAAACACACACCCCAGCTCAAAAGAGAACAACAGCACAACAATCACCCCAAGACCCAACAACCCGAGCATTCCCAAAGACCCAGCTCTACTTAGTAAGGCATCTATATTAGGCATCATCACAGATCGGACCAAAGCGGCACAGTCGATCCAGGGGGCTCTCGGCCTTGGGCATGCGGGTCATGCCACCCACCAGGAGCACCTCATTGATCTCCTTAGGCTCCACTCCAGCATCCTGCAGGCCAACGTCGGGGACGTCCAGAGGCCACGGGAGGTCGGATGTCGGTGGCCTGAACGAAGTGACTTCACCTGTTGCTTCCACGAACGACCGGGTCAACGAAACTCCTTCACCGAAGTGGTCCAGAGAAACCAGAGAAAACCCCCACCCCCCGTTTTTTTCCAGACCTTTTAAGCGTCACCTGCACGTCCGAACAAGCAGGCCTTGTGCGTAAAAAAATGGAATTTTAAAGGCTTGACGGATTTGTCGGGCCGCAGGCCTTGTTGCAGGCCTGGCAGGGAGCCTTGGTGCGCTGCAAATAGGAATCCACGATCTGCTCCAACTTCCTCAGACCAGAGCGCGGTCTGACCGGTGTTTCTCGAATTCAATGGGCCACTGGCAGTCTTGGAAAAAATGGCAGACTCCAAACCATGAATGGGCTAAACCAATCATTGGACTACTATGTCTACTTATGAATGATGTGCTCCTCTTCTTCCCCTTCTCATGCTTCCAATGGATCATGTGAAGCTCTATGGACCTCATCCATAGAACCAATTCCTGGTCTACAAGGAGGCCATCATTCAGGTGTTGGTCCCGGTGGACGACCATGCATTCCAAACGCCCGAGATCATCTTCATCCAACGAGGCGCGATCGGGTCATCTGGATGTTCATGTGCTTCGGACCACCTGAGCTGTCGGAGTGAGGCGCGAGGTGTTCCCTGCGCAACAGCTGGCTCGGTAAAGGGCGGGGCCGGCGGTTTGTATGTCAAACACTTCTTGGGGAACTTAGAACTGAGTGTGAAAGTATATCCGATATCCATTGAGCAAATAAGGAGTAGTATGGAATTGTATGGAGCATACCGTAAAGACCCATGGTCCCTGGATTTGTGTGACGACCAAGTGGCTTGGCGTTGGACCTTGCCGCCGTTTCGTTAGCTTATCACTCATAGAATCTGGATAAAGGACGTTGATGGAAGCAACACCAAACGATCAAAAGGGAACACAAAAAGCTTTGTTCAAATCTTTAAGACACACAAGCTGCTGTACTAAGTACTACATGTTCTTCTCTCACTCGCTCAAGCTGTACTCGCATGTGGCAAGAGCTGCTGGTGTACAAAAGGTTCCCAGGTTGCACCACTGCCTGAGTGCCTCTGGTTGCATCACTGGTGCTCAGAACACCTGGTGGTCAGAAACATTGCATGAAGTCCATTGGGATCAATGTGGTCCTGGCTGAAGATCCCGAAGTAGTGCAGGGAGTCCAGATAGGACACCCAAACAGGGTGGTCAAATGGGCCTGGTTTATTCATTCTCAAAAAGAAGGTGAAGAACTGAAGAACATTAAAAACAACAACTTCCAAAACTTGTCCAAATCATCCAAAGACAGTGACATGGGCCCAAAAAGTAAACTCTATTATGCCCGTCCCACGTTCTCCCGTGGCTTGAATCCACATCCTCCAGTCTCAGTGACTCTGGTCCGCTGTGATGAAAGGCAGGTTCACATCGGTCTGCACCTGGGCCCCGACTGGGCGGCTCACGGGTCCGCGAGGCTGAAGTTTTCAGACTCTCTCGTCGGTGTTCAGGCGCTCTTCATCGGTGGTGTCGCTCAGCACCGGGCTACATGTCACATGCGTTCGGTGGCGTTCGCCACGGTGGGTGCCATCCGGTGAAGCATCCGGCAGGTGCGGTGGGAAGCCGAACGAGACTTAGCCAGCCACGGAAGCGATGTCGAAGTTGGTTTGAGGCCCAATGGTCAAATACAGTTTAATACGTGTCCAACAAGAAGAAACGGAAGGACTCAACTACGATTTTCTGTTTCATTGGAATGTTTCAGTATAGGATCTTTCACTTTCGCCCTTTTAAACATCGATCCCCACGCGGCACGCGACCGACCGCTCCGCTCCCGCTCCACCTTGGACGAGAGCTCCACCTTGGCGACTTCCGCAGCTTCACCTGAAGGCGCATCCCGTCCGGTCGACCAAGCGCGCTGGACGCTGCGTCCGGCGAAGGGGAGGATTTCTCAAAGAGGTCGCCCAACACAGGTGTCCTTGGATTTGCTTTGAAGGAACCTGAAAGGAAGCAAAACATATTCACCAGAAGGGGATTTACCTAAAGAAAACAACAAACATCCCCTTAAGACCCCTGAAGCAAAACCAGGTTTCTTAAGAGCCCTGGGTGACATGGCTGATTGGAGGCCGGGTGTCGCGCTGAAATGAGATCCATGAATCCATATGAATCCCGTGATCGAATCTAAAGGGTCGATGCCCCTCTTTGAATACACCCAGAATTTCCAGCGCCATCCCAGATACCACTTCAACATCTTCTCAACTGTACCTGCCTTCTTTTTTTCACTCACTCACCCGCCCCAACTCATCGAACCGAACCTCGCCCCAGGCCGTCGGTTTCTTATGTCCGCCCAGGCCGTCGGTCGTCGCCCAGGCACGAAGACGCTGCAGCGCCAACTTGTCTTGACCGAGGTCGATGCCTGGCACAGCCGCCCGAGGACGAGCGGGCGGAAGCGATCCAGATGTGGAGCTGAGGCAAGCAGGTGGTGAGAATTGCCGAAAAGACACAAAACAGTGGACCCAAAGTTTGAGGAACTGCTTGTATGCTTAATGTTAAGGAATTGAGGTACATTAATTACTTACTTGTGATCAATTTCACATCCCAAAAGTTTGCACACAAACAGATTCTACGGTTTGGATATGTTTCCGACCGTCCTGCCCCGTCGGTATGGTTGTTCTCCGGTGGTTGTTTTCCCCAAAGCATCGGTTTAGTAGAGGAGCTCTTCGAAGTCAAGCGGTCTTTCGGTCTTTTAACGCTGGACAGAATGGACAGGTTGGACAAACACTGACACCGTCAAGTGTCCGAATCGTTTTCGCCAACGTGGCCATGATGTGAGAATCGTCACTGTCGAGGACACACCCAGCCTCTTAGAAACCACCTGAAGTCACAATCTTGACATTCGCATTCCTTTGCCCGAATCTGTTTGCACAAAAGGAAGGTACCTCTCCCTAATCTGGTGCGGGTGACAGGCACCACCACAATCAATGAAATACATCTTGCAAAGGCTTCATCCTCAATCTGAGTCACTGAGTTGGGGATGGTCATACTCTTCAATGACCTGCATCCGGCAAAGGCATGGTGGCCAATACGGGTCACGGAGTCCGGAATGGTCACCTTTCCCAGCAAGCTGCAGAATTCAAAGGTACAGTCCGAAATGTAGGTCACTGAGTCCGGGATGGTCACACTTGACTACGAGCTGCAATATTCAAAGGTGCTAGACCCAATCTCGGTCACTGAGTTGGGGATGATCACACTTGACAACGATCTGCATCCCGCAAAGGCTTTGCCCCCAATCTTGGTCACTGAGCTGGGGATGGTCACACTTGCCAACGAGATGCATCCTGAAAAGGCTGAATACCAAATATCGGTCACTGAGTCCGGGATGGTCACACTTGTCAACGATCTGCAATCTGCAAAAGCCTCATTCCCGATCTGGGTCACTGTGTTGGGGATGATCACACTTGCCAACGATCTGCATCTTGCAAAGGTCCCATATCCAATCTGGGTCACGGAGTCAGGGATGGTCACACTTGTTAAAGAACTGCATTTTCGAAAGGCTCTAAACCCAATCACGGAGACTGAGTCGGGGATGGTCACACGAATGCCAGAGTCTTGCATCCCATGAATGCTTGCGGAACGATTTCAGTGGCACCGCTTGGCATTTCAACCACAAACAAAGACTCCAAGTCAAATTCATCGCCAAACTGGTCAAACTCCCCTTTGTGGGAGCATGTCACAGCGTTTTGTTTCAATACTACGGTCACTTCAGATTCTGGAGAAAGGCCAGCCTCTGCCGCTGTCTCATCATCTGTCAGCAGTCTGCTCAGCCCCACCACAATGTCCACCCTGGTTGTCTGACGTGTGAGTTCATCGTCCCAAAGCTGGCACTCTTTGATCTGCTCCTTGAGCTCCCGACCAGTGATGTCGGGCATGACTTCCAGAACCGTCACTTCACCATTTAGCTGTCGAAATGAAATCCGATGACTGGCCATGATTGCTCTTAATCAAGAACTCGCTGCGAATCCAACTATCGAGTTTCGGGGCTTCGAGATGAATCGTCTGTACAATGTCTGTACCAAAGACTTGATCCGAAACCTCAGAGATCCCATGGCATCCACCTCGCAGGGGGCTTCAGGACAGCATGGGGGCTGCAGGACCCCACTCTTCACTGAGACTCTTCCGACTTCCAGCCTTTTGATTCTTTTCCGGTGGCCAAACCACTCGACACTCCCCTGTTCCACTCACGGATCCAAGTACTATCCTATCATCTAATGTTTGATCATATACTATGAATATTTGGTGTTTTAGCATCTGCAGTATTGTGAATCATATCACAATGTGAAATCATAATACGGCTGCAACTGTAATATCTATAACTCTATAACCATTGTTCAACATACTTTGCAAATTGAAGTGTGTGTTCCTGTTCACTCATTAATCAGCTATTGGAGTGTCCTTTTTAGATCCTGGCTGATTGGGAGTCCTGTCATATAAAAACAAAAAACACACACAAACAAACAAACATATGTGTTGCTTGGTGAATCAACTAAATGATATAGATGATAGAAGTTGATGGAAGTTCCATCCGATTTGGCTTCGTATTCAATCACCTTCCATCTTTGATACACTTCTGGGTATCCCGCACCATCCCACCATCCCACGGTCCGGGATGTCAGTCAGTCGGGGTTCTCCCGTCTTCCGGTTTCGGCTGGATGGATATGGCAGGGGCACCCCGACTTCCTCCAAGTGAAGAGCAGCCCGACTTGGACGAAAAGTCATACTCAGAAAGCGAGATACTGAAAGACACCCACCCCTCTGCATCATCCACCCTGACGCATCAGCAAACACCCACCCCTCGTGATGCATTTCATGTATTTCAGAGGTCTGGCAGACCTGCTGAGGTCTGGCGAGTCCAAACGAGCTAGGCCCCCCGTGTCCGTGCCCCCTGAGAGTGTCCCTCCGTCCAACCGCCCGCACGCGGATGGTCGTTCCATCAGCTTGGCACCTTGAGACTTCTTGAACTCGTCCACCAGGAACTTCACGATGGCATGGTCGAAATCCTCCCCACCCAAACTCGTGTCGCCGTTGGTGGCCTTCACTTCGAAGACCTGGGTACGAGACAAGCAAGCGAGACACGCGAGACACGCGCAGAGAACGAGAGAGAGAGAGAGAGACGTTTTTGGAGACGCCTAGGGTGTTTTTGGAACGCATGAAAAAAGAACACTGTACTCCAGGTCTGGAGATGAAGGGGACTTTCACTAGAATTCTAGTAGAAAGTTCAGACACATACCAGCAGTCACAAAGGGGTGCTTAATGGAGGTTAGGGCTGCCCACTATCCACTCACTTATAAACTGAAAACCACCCCTTTGTGACTCCTGGTATGTTCAGATCTTAAAGATAGTCTGGGATGTTCTACCAGGAACCGGAGCTATCTTCCATCATTTCTTTCTTGAACGGATCTCCTCTAGAGGGTTCTGCCGGCCCTGGAGGTCTTAATTGGTGACATGTTGCATGAAGCAGCTTCAATGCTTGTTCTCAATTCCTTTGTGCCTGCTCTCAAATCAACAAAGCAGGTCCTCTTCTGCGATTTCAATCCAAAATACACACATCCACCCCGACCAGAATGTTCACCAGAATCTCTGAAAGATGTGTATCATTACAACCCCAAACACATCAACACATAGTGCATCACAGGTCTCAAGTCGTCTCAGGTCTCAAGTGGGGGAAGATGAGCAGCAACAAAGTCTAGATGTTGGCCAGTTGAGTATATCAAATCGTATTAACACATATTGCAAATTGATGATGGTTTGAACACGTTTATGTGATAAAGAATCATTTGCAGATATTTGTAGTACCAACAATGTACCAACTGTTGCTGGTAAGGGGACATAATTCTCAGAAATCGTTTCATCCAAGCATTACAGTACACACATTGTCAATATGTGTCCAGCGCAGCAAAGCACCGACCTTTGAGCTGCTCTCAACTCAAATCAAAAGCATGCAACAGCAAAAAAACTCTTCAAAGTGACGTTCCCACCTGTTCCCACCCCTGCCGCCCAAATCCGGAGCCACCACGTCCAAAGGCACCGAGAAAAACGATCCGGGACCTTCGTCGGTCCCTCTTCGACCGAGGAGCACCGCCGGAGATCTCCAGGATGGAAATGTCGAAGGTTCCACCGCCCAGGTCATAGACCGCCAGGATTTGTCCATCCCCGCCCTGCAGGGATCGCAGGGATCAGCAGGGATCCCCATCCCCATGCCACTTTTGTGGAGGCAGTAATAGTGTAATACGCATTATATGATATATTAGGGCCTTTATCCTAGACACAGCATGACACAGCAAGGTGCAATGTGTTCCTTTCTTTAAGATGTGGAGTAAGTAGTAAACTGGGATAACATATTTTCAGGAAACGATCTAGCACAAAAGGTTTAGTCCGGAGTGTGTGAAAATGAATCGCCAGTGTTTTCCTCTGTGCAATAGGTCTAACATAGGTCATAGGAAACGTTACTATACCAATCTGGTCTCTGGTCTTTTCTGCAAGAATCCCTGCTCCCCAAGTAGCTGAGTTCTCGGATTGAGAGGACTTGCCCCCTTGCAAACTAGAACTGGAGGATACTGAGGGATACCGTACCTGCTTCGCAAAACCCATCTCTCCCCCGCTTATGTGGGATTCCTGCCGCCGGATGAGAGAGTACACAAAGAGCTAGGCTTTCGAATGATGAAGTGTCAGGGCCAACTGAACTCAACTCTAGCCAATCCACTTTGAACATCCGTGCCTCTGGGTCCACCCACGGCATATTCTGAGCACATCATATGATCAATTCTCACCACGCAGTAGCAGTAATGTAGTCCCTGGATTTAAAAAGGCCCACAGAATAACGACACTTTTTTTCTTGCACAGATTTATAAAGGCCCCCAGAATATTTCTTTTTTTGAGGAGTAGTTGTGGTGGGATATTGCTTATTGTTATAGTTTACTTCTTCCCTTTTGAGTTTGCCGTTTGATTTGCTTTACTTACCTAAGCTCTTTAGTCTTTAAGCTTTCCAAAAACTTCCAAAAGTC